GGACACATCAGACAATCTATTAGCACAGCAGTATCTTCGCACAGGCAGGTGCTTAGCCTGCAGTGACTGTCCACAGTTCTTTTTATTTTAATGCCTCCATATTCTTCAAAGCATATTTTCAAGCAATTTCTCTGAGAATAATTTTAACTTATGTGTATTACGTGTTCTCTAAACAGCAGACACAATTACTATACAAGGCCCCAGGGACAGATTGAAACGTAACCCATTTGACTTTTTTTATGCCTTCTTCTCTTAGCACCTTAAGCATTTTTGCATCTACTTAAGTAAAATGATGCAATTATTCTTTCCTGTCTGAAGGTCTTAATTTTAAAAAGAAACAATCCTTCTTAAGCATCAACTGTGTGCTCCTAGCATGAAGCATCTACTATGCTAAGCATTGCCTATGAGTTTGAGTGGATGAACGATGACAGAAGAAGGCTTTTCAACATGAATATCTTAAATTTCATGGAACTAATTGAGGAAAAGCTGTATTTAAAAGGGTAGAAAAGATGATTCAGCAGATCTGGCTAAAAATAAGGCATGTATACGAGTTCTCTCCAGAGTCTCTGTTTGGCAGCTTTGTGAACTTGCAAAAATTACTTGACTCCTCTGTGCTTAGCATGTCTCATCAGTGTCTCATAGTTGTTTTGAACATTAACTGATGTATTTCAGGTGATACGTTTAGGACAGCATCAGATGTACAATCACAACTAAATAAGTGTTAGTGATGCCTGTTTTTATTAGGTTGCATTTTCTGCATGAGAGACTTTAAAGCTCATGTTGCTCACTAGATGATTTTGAGAAAGAATCTATCAGAGCAAGAATGATCATGACAGCTTGCTCAAGGTGTGCAAACCATGGCCAGTGGAAAGCAGAATGTTTTGCCAACTTTTGCCAAGTCATCTGACATGTTGGACTCATTAACTGTCTCTTCACTGCACCAATCTATTCCAGATGAGCACATTTCACAGATAGGTTACAAGATGATATAGTTTCATTTTGAGGAACAACATACATCTCTCTCTTCACTTTCCCACTCTTGATCTTGCTCTTCACTTGATTTTTTAAGGTCCAGCTGATTTTGACTTTTAAAATCCTACTAAACAATTATCTCAACGTTCTCTTTTACTGTATGGTTAACTTTGAGTAGAAGATTTTTTTTTAAAAAAAAAAAACCTTGATATTGCCCCTCGTTGGCAGCAGCTCTGCCAGATTTTTCTCTATGATACACTTGATGTAATATATCTGTAACCTAATAAAAAGGAAAAAAGAGCTGATTAAAATTCAGATCTTCTGATTCATCAGTTATGGAGTTAAAAAAATATGTACCAAGCACTGTGCTAAGCTAACTCTATATAATGGTGAATAAAAATGGTGCTTGCGTTACTCAAGCTTAGGTTCAGTGGTACAATGAGACATAAAATAGCAAATAAACAAACAAATTCAAACTTTGTTAAGGGCCATGAAGTCTTCAGAACTTTCTAGTGTAAACACTGACTTAAGTTTAGCAAAGACATTTCCATAACAAAAGCATCAAAGTTTTAAAACACTAAATAACTGGCTTTTCCTTGTTCATACAGAAATTTTATGGTAGAACCAATTACATTTGTAATTGAATGACGGGTGCTTTCTCTGAGTAAAGTTTTCTTCCTTTAAAATATGTTCTGCTTAAATGCCTAGTACAAATGTAATTTATTCATGATTGAATCAAGAGGAAAAAATTAGCCTTCATATTAGAATCCCAATTCACCAATAAAGCATTTTGCAAACTTAATGCCAAACTGCATTATAGTGATGGTATGATGTTTTAACAATTTACAATATATGAAGAATGAGATCCACATTCTTAATTATTTTAGCATCATTCCTTTGTGATGAGTGAAAACTTATTTTAAAGGAGTGGGCTATTTTGTATAACATTTGAAAATATTTGCTGGTTACAAAAACTCAAGCAAAATAAAATTGGGAAACCCTATCCCACAGTCATAACTGACTGAGATCTTTTACCCCTTACTTGTTCTGGGGATAATGACAACATTTTTAGGTAAATACGTGACATCAGGTGATATGAATTTTGATGACAGTTCCTTAAATTGTTTTTCTACAGTATTACAAATGACCTATTTGGTTTTTGTTTTGTTTTGGTACTGGAGATCAAACACATGACTTCATGCTTGCCAGACAGGCACTTACAAGCTGAGCTAAATACCTGGCCCCCAAATGATCTATCTGAAGTAAGCCTTATAGAATGTGTGCTCTCTTCCTTAGCAGTAAGGGACAGTACTGGGAACTTCTTTAACCTAATAATTGGCTAGTCTATCTAAAGTAACCTGTTTATTTTCTGGGCCATAAATATTTAGTAATCAGTGATGCATCCTGATAAATTTTTCTAGTTGGTATGATGCACAGATATCTACTCACCTAGAGTACTCATTACTCATTAGAGACTATTTTTAATTTTTGTCCTGAAAAGTGATATAATCTCTCTTCATAAGCCATTTTCTTGGTTTTTGTCAATATCAAATTTATTTTTGACATGATGGATTTTTAAAGGCAAAAATAAGCAGTGAAGCCAATGGACTCAAATACTGGAAATCGGTGACTCTGAGTAAAGGATATATAAATGTTACCTACATTATTCATGAAGGTTTTTGTTGCTTTCTTTTTTTTAAATAAAAAGTTGGTGTAGGGATATCTTGTTCTTACTGAACTTCATGTACAACATGCACAAAATTTCATGAAATTCCAACAATTAACAATTTTCAAAAATATATCTCCAAAATATAAATAGTGATGATTTCACCCAACAAATAAAAATGCAAACCTATGACACAACTCATGACACCAGAGGAGATTCATCATGAGCATTCCCGGAAGGTCCCCTTGAGGAAGCAATGACTACAGGCAGCCTCCTCGTGGCTCCATAGATATTCAGGGATCCAACATGGTGTGTGTGTAGGAGCCTTTGTTTTGCTTCTAGCAGATACATTGGAAGCTCTTCACCATATGGATTTCAAGAAGCAAACCGATGGAGAGGAAACTCCCCGTGTTCTAACACAACCATGTGGAGGGTTCACTCGGGTTGGAAGAGAGAAGCCATGGGGAAGTGTGCATGGGTTGTCTGTCTGTACCACAGGTGGTTTACCCCTCCACCAGCCACCTCCTTTCCCTTTTACTATTATTTAAAACCCATCCTTGTCACTGAAAGTCATTTATTACTTCATATAGTCAGTGAATTATTTTGACTCTTTGCTTGTGTGTAAGTCACCAGTTGGCCTTGCTCCGTAGGCATAGGCTCCTTCCAACTGTAGGGATATACAGCTTATGGCCCTGTGGTCCTTGGACAGCCTTAAAAAGAAAGTGCAAGATTTTCAGCCCTGACTATACATTAAAATCAACTAGAAAATTTCATAAAAGTATGGATGCTTTGGAAACTAAGTCACATTCTGATTTAATTGAATGAGATAAATTACCTAATCTGGTGAGTGGCTGTTGAAAAGATCCACTGAAACAAGTGTAAGCAGATTCAATTCAGTTCTCTATTGGCACAAATACTACTGGAGCCCAATGACACCCTCAGTTATTACAAGTATAAGATTTAGATATCGTCAAGGATATAGTCAGGGATACAGCTTAGCGGCACAGCACCTGCCTCACAAGCATGAGGTCATAAGTTCGATTCCGAGTACCAAAAAAAAAAAAAAAAGTTAGATACAATTTGGAGATGCATAATCAAGATAAAAGTAGGTCAATATTATGAGCTCTAATTTAGTATGACTGGTATCCTTATAAGAAAGGGAAATTTGAACACAGATGCACATAAAAGAAAGGTAATAAAAAGACAATAGGGAAAAAATTTACAATTTACAATTCAAAAATCCTAGAATGAATTATTCCTCACAGTCCTTGGAAGGCACCAACCCCACCAATAACTTGATACTGGACTTACAGCCTCCAAAACTATGGGACTACAAATTTCTGCTGTTTTAACCACCTAATTTGTGGTACTATTACATTAGCTCCCCCAAAAAACAAATAGACTTTTATGTCATAATATTTATCCTAACTTAAAATTAAATGGCCATTTGTTTGATTAATGTTTCTTTCACCAGATGATAATCTTCAAAATGCCAGGAGGTGTATCTATTTTTATTAATATATTTACCATTATCAGCAACTATTGCCCTATACTAAGAGAGGTTGAGAACTCACCCAAAGTAGAAAGGAAATTACACTATCGAGAACTAGTGTGGGGTGGTCTAGAAAGGCATAGGCGAACTACAGACCTCAACTCAATCAGGCCTATGTTCTGTTTTCATACGACATGTAAGCTAAGAAGTTTACACATTTTTAAATGCTTATTTTTAAAAGAAAAATATAACATTAGAACATCATGTTAAATTTAAGTTTTAGAGTTTGTAAATAAAGTTACACTGCAACACAGTCACAGCGTACAGATGCATCCATTCTACAAAGGAGTGTTCCTTAATTGTGACGGAGACCACACTGCCTGAAATATTTATTATATGGCCATTTATAGAAAAAGCCTGCTGCAACTGGTGTAGAACAAGCTGTAGAAACCTGGAGGACCATCCAGGGGTGCACAACTGGGAAGGGACACAGTGTTACCGGCACACATCTCAGCATGTTTACTATATGGAAAATCATTATGCTACAAACTCACTAACACGTTCACTTTTTCTCAACTCAAAGCATGTAACAGACTACTGGGTACTCTTCTCCCTAAGGACACACAGCTCTGGTTTTACTAATGAGCCATCAACAAAAGGTATTGTGAATTAAAATTTTTCAGTTTACATGGAATTTTTATTGAATGCATGTGTTTTGATAAATGAAAGACTTTAAACATCAAATCAATAGATGATGATCATTACAGACACTCACATTTGCCTACTCAAAGTTAACAATTTTTAGATATGGATTTACATGGTAAATATGGGTTGACTGAGATCATATTCATACAAAGAAGTACTATTTACCTTTGATGGAGGAACAAAGTGAACACATTCCAGCCATATGGTTAAAAAGAATTTTCCACATATTGCACAGTTTTTTCCTTCAGAGATGATGTTCCTGACCTCTGGATACTGTTCTATGGCATCCATTAGAATAGGGTTGTTTTTGGCTAGCTCATTCATGACAAATCTTGATGTTATTTCCTAAATTAAAAAAGAATATTGTTTCTAAAATTATTTTCTAAATCTTACCTTACACTGTTTTCTATTTTACTCATACAAATTGTTGTCTTCTTCCTTACTCAGTTAAACTAAGATTCTGATATAGAGATTTTATATATATATATATATATTTTTGTTGTTGTTGTTGTTGGTACCAGGGATCGAACTCACAACTGCGCGCTTGCAAAGCAGGCGCTTATGCCCCAGCCCGATTTTATATATTTTTATATATGTAATTATGTTGCAAATGGTTGGCATTGTAAATACATTTTTCATTAATATAAGAAAGTGATTTCCATTGTAACAAATTTATGTTTCTTGTATATAAGAATTAAAATGATAATAAATTTGCATTAGCTATTTTTTAAAATTAGCTATACTTTAGGTTCAAATTTGGTACATTTCATTACAATAAACTAAACTGTACATACATTCAAATTGCACTTAAAAGATTGAATCTGCCATTTTTTTCACTAAGGTCTAATCTCATGTATGTAAAATGGCTCAGAAACCAGAAAGCCTGCATTGTCTGGGAAGTTTAGTAGGATTGTAGAATCCCAAATGCCCTCTATCACTGATTTAAAATCTCAAAAAGGCCCTCAAGTAATCTATCTGTTTGCACAGATAGTTTAAGTATGGCAAGTCTAAATGATTAGCTGCCTTTAGTATCTGCTAAACTCCACCTTACTGAAAAGCAATAAATTCAACTTGAATTAGATCTAACCACACCAATGTTCAGAAAATTGACTTTGTGTAATAATATAATACTAAATGCCAGAAAATATCTTAAGGAAAAAGAGCTACCTTTTATCAGGATCATCACCTTAAGCATATATATATATATATATATATATATATGTATGTATGTATATTAGCATTATATATAAAACACTATATATATATATATATATATGTGTGTGTGTGTGTAAGAATTAAGTCTTCATTGACCAATCAAAGTAAACAAACATTTGCCTTACTCTAAATGCCTCTCATTGTTGATGCCAGTAGCATGGAGTCCTTTATAAATGTTAAACAAGCACTACTTGAAATTTTAATAGTATATGGGGGTAGTTTATTTTATTTCCTGGCCAAAGTAAAAAAAATTATTTCCTAGTAGTATTAAAATAGTTCACATGAGGCTCTGATCAGAATTTTGGGGATTTACACACAGACAGACAGACAGTCATAAACTTTCACTTATTCTTGCCAATTAAAATATTTTTTCAAAATTCAAATAATAATAAAATTCTATGAATTGCTATATACTAGTTCCCTACTCCCCTGTCCTTTCTAATTAACAAGAATATGTGAAAGCTGTCTTCATACAACAGCCCTGAGTATGTTTTCCTTCAATGTCTGGTCCTAGTCACTGAAGCATTTTGTTCTAGTTGGTTATCTGACTGGGGTCAATGAAACCGATGCTTCTGCGATCACTAATGCCACCAGCACAGCTAAATCAGTTGCTGTACCCTTTCTTTCACTACCTGAGAATATAATTTGTGATCCTAAATAAAACATTCATTTCAGGGATGATTAGCTATGTGAATTCAGAGGCTAGGTCTCATTACAAAACCAGAAAACTCGGACAAGGAATAATAACTCACCTAAATAGGAGAGAGAAGAATTTGCTAAAATATATAGGACCTATAAATATGCTCATACACATTACTTTTTCTATTTGTGATTCCTGTATCCAAACACGTTTGTTGCACTTAATGTATCTCTTGACAATTCCTACATCAACCATTATTTACATTTTTCTACTTGCTGCCAATGTGTTACTTTAGGAGAATAATCCATACCATTAAAATATAAAGTAAATTTACTACTTGGAAAAGTATCTATAAAGTAAGATATTAGAACAGTAATAAATTTTATGACACCACTTATAGATTCATTCAATGCAATTTTTGAAAATATACAATTTAGTGATGCTACACACACACACACACACACACACACACACACACACAAAATTAACTCTTGTGCCCCCAGGCTTTACAGTTTCAAGAATCACATTCACCAACTTCCCACAAGAAATACAATCATCATGCACTGCAAACATGTGCTAACAAAAAATAAAAAAATAAATTTTAAAATGTGCTGGGGATTTAGCTCAGTGCAAAGACTCTGACTTCATTCCCCACTATTGAAAAAAAATCACAAGACAATATCAGTCTATTACTGTAAGTGCTGCCAATATTTATGCCCTTCAGGGTGCTCCAAAAGACTGTCATCACAATGAGTAAACTACTCAGCCACCCTCCTCCAAAAGCTGCAATATTCCCCAACCCAGGATTATCCTGTCTCCGTTTCCCTAACCTCCCTTCATCTGCTCTTTCAGAGGCCATACTGCAGTGTGGAGTTGAACTCCAGCTGCTTAAATTGGTGGCACTGTCCCAAGACTATCTCCGTGACCCTAAACAAGATATTTAACCTCTTTTGAACTCTTTATATGCCTATTTTTAAAAGGAACAGCAATTAAGACCACGCATTTAGGATTAGTAAAAAACATTAATCATTGTTAAGTATATATAATAGTCCTTTGTTCATAGTAAGCTTTAAAAAAGTTATTATCATTGTTCTGAAATTCTTGATGTAAAGGAAAAATGGGTTCTAAGGATTAAATGAATTAAACATTGCAGTTTTTTAATGATTCACCATTAAATTTCAAAAAAAATATTTTTCCAATATAAGAGTAGGAAATAATGTTGTATGTGGCAATAGTCTCCCAAAAGAAATTTGAAAAAAGCTCATCTGTGAAAGAAACCAGCTCTTTGGCCTACAAAGAGCTAATTTCCATATTGCCAATGACTTTGGGTTACAGGAATCACTTGCTGAGCCCGCCACAGTGCTTTCAAAGAAAATTCTAGAATTTAAGGCTTAGTTTAAAGAGGAATAATATGAACATACGCTAGAAGTTTATTGAGTATGATCATGATATCCTTGTTTATAATGGCCAAAAAGGCAAAAAAAATTAATAACCTAAGCACGTAACAGTGGGGAAACAGAAATATGACATATCGGAATAATATTAACTCACCAAAACATATCTTAATATGTGCTTAATATAAAAGATGTCAGGCTTTTTTATTGAAAAGAAATTCACAACATTTTCGGTGAAGAAACAAATCTTTAAAGGGTGTGTAAAGTTTCCTATGTATGCATAGGAAATTTAGAAGAATAAATATTCAATAAGAGTAGCTATATATATATATATATATATATATATATATATATATATATACTAAAATATCAGTACTGAGAATTAGCCATTGGCTTTTTTCTTACTTTATTAAATAATTACATATAACTTTCATAAGAACTTCTTTCTAAATCAGTTTAACTAATCTTTTTTTTTCATTATTTATCTGTATTTTTTAGGTTTTAATAATAAACACTCATTTCTTATACAGTGAGTAGAAGGGATATTTTAAAACCAACTAAGCCATTGAACAAGTTTTTTGTTTTCTGTAGTCAGGAAATTTAAACTCTATACAATTGTTGAACGTATTCCAACAATTGCACATGTTCAGCTCTAGACTGAAATAAATCGGAAAATTCAAAACTGTGATGGAGAATCAAACCAGAATATGGGAGGATCTTGTAATCTTTAACTCCTCGATTGTAAAAGGAACCTTGTAACATGCTTTCTTATTCCTTCTAATCTCATCAATTTGTTCTACTAAAGTTCTGGACCATATTCATTCATTCACAAGGGATACACACAAGTTAAAGGACGACAGAAATGATAAAGATCTCACTAAGAATAAGTCAAATGCTTCTCAGGTAATACTGAGAAAAATATTTAGAAGGTTAAAGTGAAAATAAATCCACTTTTTTTCTTTTCATCTAATAGAATATCTCCAGTTGCCTGTATTTAGTCACTCTGGAAATCAGGTAAATTAGATTCCATAAGTAAGTGGAAAAAAATAACATTTATGTATAAGATTCATATTGCCGGTGAACTTGGGTTACATTATTTGCTAGCCTGGCCATAGTGCTTTCAAAGAAAACTCTAGAATTTAAGCCATACCCTTAGTTTGAATACTCAGAAGAATGAGCCAAACCTTTACCTTTAGACTCCAAATGACCTCCCGTTGTTCAGCTACAAATGGCCGCTTCAAGAAGAGTGGGTTATCCTCACAGTAGAATTCCCTCAGCTTCAGATTCTGAAACTTTTAAAATAAAATAGCAACTGTATTGTACAACAAAACAACAGACTGAACTTGTAAAGCTATGCCTTCGATATAATTAGAATAAAATTATTTTGCTTGAAACTTAACATTCTACATTAATATTTTGAGTGAAACATACTTTAGTCTTTAGAAGCATAAGAATTATAATACTGCCATAAAGCTGTATGATTCTAAAGGTCACATCCTCAGCACTAAACAGCTGAGAAAGCCGGCTTAGGATCACAGAAGTGATCAGTAACTGTTATAATAAATAATAATGACATGGGCATTTTGTTTTAAATTTTCCTAGAAAATTTTATCTTCAGAACACAGTACACTCTAAATCTCAAAGATTGTTTATTATCCATTTATATACAAAGAGAACAGAGAAAACATGGGAACATCAAATGTTCTCATTGTAATCTCATTGTAACTGTGGGAAGGATAAGAAAACTGAGTAGGAAGGAAGAGAACAGGTGAAGAAGAGAGACAGAGAAGAATGTACAGGTCAAAACAGTCTTCTGTGAAGAAAATCTAACCCTCATAGAGCCTGTCACTTCAGTAGAAAATTAAAGTATTTCTTTATATCAGTATTATGCTTTGCTGAATTAATGAACTGAAGAGTTGGTTGTTTGAAAAAATAAAAAAATTCATAAGCCCCTAGCCAACCTTATCAAAAAGAAGAAAGGAAAACTCAAATCCACACGATAAGAAATTAAAGGGGTAAAATCACTGCAGATGTAGAAATTCAGATCATCATTACCTACTTCAAATATCTTTACTTGCAGACATTGGAAAATACAGAGGAAATGGAAAGTTTCCTAGAATTATATAAACTATCAAAGCTGAATCAAAAAGATATAAAACTTCTGAATAATTCAGTTAATGAAATTGAAAATGTAATAAAAAACATAACAATAAAGAAAAACCCAGGTCATGCTGAATTCTACAAGAAATGTAAAGAACATTTAATGCCAATACTCCTCAAACTCTTTAATGAAATTGAAAGGGAAGTAATTCTTCTTAAATCATTTCTAGAAGCAATTACCCTGATACCAAAACCAGAGAAAGGTCCAATCAGAAAAAGAAAACTACAGGCCGATCTCCCCTAATGAACACAGATGCAAAAATTCACAATAAAATACTAGCAAAGAGAATGCCAGAAATCATCGAGAAGATTGTATACCATGACCAAGTGGGACTCATGCCAGGAATGCAGGGATGATTTAATATATGCAAATCAGCAAATGTAATGCACCATAATAACACAGCCAAAGACAAAACTCATGTGATCATCTCAATAGATGCAGAAAAAGTTTTTGATAAAATCCAACACACATTCATGGTAAAAACACACTAAAATCACAATAGATGTCCACTATCACCATTAATATTCAATACAGTTCTGGAAATATTAGCCAGAGCAATTATGCAAAAGAGAGAAATAAAAGTGAAAAGATACAAAAGGAAAAAGTTAAATTATCATTATTCACAGATGATATGATACTCTACATAGAAGACCCCAAAACCTCCACCAACAGACTTCTAGATGTAATAAACAAATTCAGTAGTATAGCTGGGTACAAAATCAACACTCAAAAGCCAATAGCATTCCTGTACAACAAACAACAAACTTACTGAGAGAGAAATTAGAGAAACCACACTTCCCAATAACAACAAAAAAATGAAATATTTAGGAATCAATCAGACAAAAGGAGTAAAAGATTTATACATTGAAAACTACAGTACTCTGAAAAAAGAAATTATTTGGATATCAGAAAATGGAAAGTAGGAAGAACCAACATCATGAAAATGGCCATAATCCCAAAACTGTAATACAGATTTAATATAATTCTGATCGAAATACCATTAGCATACCTCACAGATCTAGAAAAACCACACCTAAAATTCAACTGGAACCATAAATGACCTAGAAGAGCAAAAACAACACTGGACAACAAAGGCAAGGCAGGAGGCCTTGCCTGACCTGAAATTATACCACAAAGCTGCTGTAATAAAATCATCATGGTATTGACACATAATCAGACCTGAAGTTCAATGGAACAGAATAGAAGTCACAGACACAACTACAAACATACCTAGCCACACTATCTTTGACAAAGGGGCCAAACATGTTCAGTGGAAGGATGATAGCCTCTCTAACAAGTGGTGCTGGAAAAATTTTCACATGCCCAAGACTTAAACTAGACCCATACCTATCACCGTGCACTAAACTAAAGTCACAGTGGATCAAAGATCTAAATATTAAGACAGAAGCACTAAATTTACTTCAAGACAAAGAAGGTCAAAATCTCAATAACATAGAGGTAGGCAGAGAGTTCATGAGCAAAAACCAAACTGCATGGGAAGTACTTCAAAGAATCAACAAATGGGATCTCATCTTACTAAAAAGTTTTGCATATCCAAAGTAATCATCAACAGAATGAAAAGAAAAACCACGGACTGGGAAAAGATTTTTACCAACTGTCACTCTGACAAAGGACTTCTATCTAATAAAGAACTGAAAAAAAAAAAAAAAAAAAAAAAAAACAGGCCTCCCAAATTCAAGGACCCAGTCCAAAAAAGGACATCTACGACGAATGCATAGTTCTCAGGTAAAGAAGTTCAAATGGCAAATAAACGTATGAAAAAATGTTCAACATCATTGGCCATTCGAGAAATGCAAATTAATACAGCACTGACTGTATTAATACAGCATCTCACTCCAGAAAAAATGGTTAACATCAAGAAATCAATGAATAACAAATGCTGGGAAGGTTGTGGGGGAAAAAGGCACACATCTGCATTGTTGGTGGGAGTGCAGACCTATAAAACCACTGTCGAAATCAGTGTAAAGGTTCCTCAAAAAACTAGGATTAGAGGTTCCATTCGACCTACTTATTCCCCTTCTGGGTGTTTTCCCAAAAGAATTGGAAACATCATACCATAGCAATACATGTTTGTTGCACAGTTTGTAACAGCCAGATCTTGAAAACAACTCAAAAGTCCATTAATTGAGGAATGGATAAAAAAAATGTGATATTTTTACATAATGGAGCACTACTCAGCTATAAAGAAGGATAAACTAGAGGCTTTTACAGGTAAATGGATGTGACTTGGGACTATACTCATAAGTGAAATAAATCTCACATATGTAAACACCATATTGCTTCATTGGTGTAATAAACTGAAAGTAAATGAGATCTAAAAGTTACAACAAATATAATGAAAGGAAAGAAACTGCTCAAAGGGCAATTATATTGTTTGATCAATTTTGCATTCCTGTATTTGGTAAGTTGAGCAACTAGTTTGAAGACAACACTACACAATAAAGCCACCATTGTTAAATTCCTATCATCTTATTTTGAAATCCTATACATTACTGTTCTGCTGCTGTTGTTGTTGTTGTTAATGATGTCATCATTGTTTGGCTTTTGTTGTCGTTTTTCTTTGTTTGGTTGGTTGCTTTTTTAGTTTTCTGTGTTTTCTCTTTTAAAAAAAATATGGCTTTGTTTCCAAGAACCTATGTGGCATTTAAAGTTAAACGAATTTAAGAGGCTGTTTTTCTGAGCCAAAATATCTGCTATAAAATAGGTACATTAAGAACCTTTCTTCAATAGTATGGTGGTAAACCAGTTCCCTGGAAGAAAGAAAGAGAAAAGGGAAGGGAGGAAGAGAGGAGAAAGGGGAGAAGGAGGAAGGGAAAAAAGAGAAGGAGGGGTTTGCCGTAATGAGCGGTGTGTGTCAACTCCATGGCACACATACTATGACAAGTTAATTCAAGTCACTGAGCACAGAGCTGGAAAGACATTTGTAAAATTAACACTTGTGAGCCAGAAGGAGCTGGCTCTATGACATCACATCTCACAAAATTTATGGGAGAATTAGAGATTTCTGGGGCTTCAATCCAAGATTTGAAAACTAGCAACCACATAACAAATTAAAAATAATAGATTTAACATGTCTTTCTGGTGGATGATGTCATTAGATTTCAAAAGTTACAGAAAAGTTTGTCAACACAAACAAGATTGTTAAATAAAATACAAAGCTCATATTCAGTCCTGGTCTCACAGGACATTCTAACTTCCTGAATTCAGTTTCCTATGTTACCATCTCTAGGAGAAAACCTAGAGAGTTGAATCCAATATCAACCATTAGTCTACTAAGTGTGTTAAAATTAAAAGGGACCTTTCTTGTTCTTGTTAATGCTCTATATAACCATCATTTTTTCCTTTCTGTTCTAATGAGTATTATTTCAAAGCATCTTGGTTTACAAATGTAAAATGTATTTTCAAAGCATCTTGGTTTACTGATGTATCATGTAAGACTTATTTCAAGTTTGACCTTAGTTCAAAGGATATGCAGTGGTCTTTAGAGTCACATTTCCCTTCCTTTGTATCCTGTCACTACTCCACCATCAAGCATGGTGAAAGTTCTGCACATTGCTAATGCACTAAACAAAATAGATCAGAAAAAAATTTATCTTAATGGGAAAAATTCAATAGCATGTGTCTTTCAGCAGGTAAGTTTCAGTAACTTAAAGTCACCCGATGCCTCAATGTCTCCTGTTATCATACCCCTGGAGTAACCACTCAAATATCCTCTTTTTTATGTACTACTTGGTTTAGTTTGTAAAGAGAACAAAATTCTTCACTATCATGGTACCGTAGTAGTAAAATCAGCTACATTCTTCTCTGATAAGAGTTTTTTCAGAATCTTAACGCATGATTAATGCATGTTAAAACAACCAGTTCAATGAGTTTACTTTGAATTGAAACAATTTTACATACCCCCACTCTGTTCCACAGACATTTCTGGTTGTCACGAATAGTAGGGTGAGTATTACTGGCATCTAATCAGTAAAGGTTAAAGATGCTATTGACTATTCTAAAGTAAACAGGATAGCCCCCCAATAGACTCTGGCCAGGCTTGCACACGGACCCCCAACTAACCCCACACCTGCGGGTTCTGCACCTTGGCCACAGCTACCCACCAACTTG